ATAAAATTATTCATTATTTATAAAATGTTTCAAATTTCTGACATATTTCAATATAATTTTATATAAATTTATAAGTATTTTTTTCTTTTTCTTTAATTGTCAAAAAATTAAATTTAACAATTTTTAAATTTTCAATTTATTAAAAATGTAAATACAATTGAATAGAATGATAATGAAGTTAAATTATTGATCAATAAAAGAAAAAACAGAAACGAAGAATATTAGTTTAATCTTAAAAGATCAAAGTTACCTTTTTGAAAAGATGTTGTGAAGAAGATCAAAGAAGAATTTAATATAGATGTTATACTGATGTAATATTAAATAAAATTTAAAGGGATGATTAAGAATTATAAAGTAAGTAAAATCCTGATTAAGAAAGCAAACGATCTAATTGTATAAAATAAAAATTATAAACAATCAATATTTTTAGTTATTTAAACTTTATACGAAAGGAAATTCAAAAGAAATTTTGTTTTACTCTCATTATCATCTAATACTGAAACACTATTACAAACTGAAAATCTCTTTGTATAATTCACTTCAACTATTACATTCTTTATTACACTCTTCAACTTTTATCATTCCTTTTTCTTTTTTCATTTTTTTCTTAATTTCATATTCAGTTTTTTTTATACTTTTTTTTTTCTGATTTTTTGCTAAAAAAAAAAATTTTTTTCCTAAATGAAGTTTGCTACTTTTACGTATTATTTAGAATTAATAGTTATAGGTTAATCTATATCTGATTAAGAGCAAGTATACTTTAACATTTATAAATTTATGAGTAAATGTAAAACGAAGGAAAAAACTATATAATTTTTAGTTATTAATCTAACTAAAAACTAACAATATTGATTAGTATGGTCAATATATATTTAATAAAAAATGTATTAGAAAAAACTTTGCAATATTATAAAAGTTTTTTGACATTCTTTCTTTATGCTAAATTTTTCACGTGATTATGTGATTATAAATGATATTTTTTAATTATAAGATTTTTTAAAATAAAGGTAATAGTGATTATAGGTAGAAAGTGACTATAAACAGTAGGATTTATATAATAAAAAATTTGGAATATTTAACTAGGATGATTATATAGGATAATGTGATTATAATAGAGGTAACTATAATAGGAGTTAACTGTATTAATAAATTATTTTAAGTCTCATTTAATGCATAATTAAAATATTAATTGAATTAAAAATTGTTTCTAATTTACTTTAAGTATTATATGGATTTAATATATTATTATATATAACTATTTGAGTTTATTTTTAGCATATATATGAAAATTTATATAAAAAAACTTGATTTTTCACTTTTTAAAAATAATTTCAACTTAAACTTTATCTTTTTAAAATCAAATTTTATTTCTACAATCAAATTTCTTCTTTTATAAATTTTTCTTTATATAAATATTACTAAAATGCTAACAAAAAAAATCATCACAAGAATAAAAAGAATGTAAATTAAATTTTATCAATTAACCAGCCAATTTTCAAATAATAAACTGATTTTTTTATTTTTTACAATATAATCTCAGTTACTATCAAAATTAATTAATGAAGAATTAGAACATAAGTTAAATTTTATCAATCAACCAACTAATTTTTTAAATGATAAACTGATTTTTTTACTTTTTACAATAGAATCTCAGTTATCAGCAATATCATCAAAATACCTCAAAATTAAAATTAGCTAATAAAAAGCTAGTATATAAGTTGATTTTATTAATCAACTAGCTAGTTTTCAAATAATAACTCATTTTTTTGCTTCTCTATAATAGAAACACAATTGATAGCAACATTACTAAAACACCTTTAACAAAAAAAAATTAGCTGATAAAAAGCCAGAATGTAAGTTGAATTTTATTAATCAACAGCTAATTTTTCAAATGATAAACTGATTTTTTTGATCTCTATAATAGAAAAACAATTGACAGCAATATCACTAAAATGCCTCTAATAAAAAAAATCAACTGATGAAAAGCTAAAATGTAAATTAGATTTTATTAATTAATCAACCAATTTTTCAAAGAATAAACTGATTTTTTTAATTCTTTATAATAGAAATAAATCAACAATAATACCATTAAAATACTTCTAATTAAAAAAATCAGCTGATAAAAAGCTAAAATATAAGTTGAATTTTATCAATCAATCAGCAAATTTTTTAACTAATAAACTGATTTTTTAGATTCTCTATAATAAAATATAATCAACAGCAACATCATTAAAATGCTTTTAATAAAAAATCAGTTGATAAAGAACTGAAATATAAGTTAAATTTTATTAATTAACTAGCAAATTTTTTTATAATAAAAAAAAGACAAAAATGCATTTATACAATATTATCTGAGAATGAGCCAATTTTTATAGAATATATATTAGTTATAATATACTATTTTTATAATAATACTAAATAACTTTCAAATTATAGAAGTAGATATAGAAGAAATGCAAAAATAATATAGGGAAATTTAGCTTCTATTAAAATTTTGATGATAACCAATGGTAAGTACTTTAGCTGTAGCTGAATTTGAGATTCTTGATTATTTAAATGATTTAAAATCAGGTATATTATTTTTGATTTATTTCTATTTATTATTTATAATTAATGATATGTTTCTTTATTCCTACACAGAAAATTAAAAGTTAAAAGAAAAACTTGTCAAATTTATTAAGAAAATCAAAAAATTGGAGTAATAAATTTTGATCTCTTAAGGAAAACTAATTTCTTGCTAAAATTAATAAGGAATTCAGTAAGAAAAATGAAGATTTACAGAAGAGATAAAAATTTATATATTAATATCTTATATTATAATAACTAATTTTTCTTTTTTAATATTTAAAATTTGAACAATTTGAGAGATTATAGTTTTCTAAATTATTGAGGTAATCTGATGCTAATCTTTCTATAAAATAAAGAAAAGTTAGAAAACTTTGTTAAAATCAAAGAAAAAAAACCAATTTATTATACCAATGATAAATTAGAATCATTGCAAAATAATTCTGAAGATGATGATAATTCAGTAAAAAAAAAAGACTAATATAAAAAGAGTTAGATATATTTAAATTTATATTTAAATAATTTAAATTTTTAACTGATTTTTTCTTACTTTCATATTTAGGCTAAAATGAAGGCAGTTTTGAAAATTATCAATTCAAAGGATGATTTAGACTATGACGAACCTTTTAATATAAGAAAAATATTATAATATATCATAGTTTAATTTTAAAATTACAAAATTTCTTAGCTCTGAATTATCAGCCTTCTGTTAAAATTTAAGCTGGCTGAAATCTCTCCATAAATTACATTGGTCAGCTTAAAGAATAAAAAAGTAGAAAGGACCCTTTAGAGTTGCGATAAATTCATAATAATAATTGAATATATGAGGCCTTTGCAATAGAAAGGGAGGAAACTCAAAAAAAAATAAAAAATAAGTTAATAATAAATCTGAACAAATTATAGTATTTAGAACATTTTTGGTTTATAAACTAAAATTTTAATTTTTTTAGAGTTTTCTCCCTTTCTATTGCAAAGACCCCATATGATATAAATAAATAGAATATATTCTGAATTTAAATCTATTTTAATTAATAATTTAATATTATTTATTATTTATTAGAAGATAGCTTAGTGAGTAAAGGTTGTAATAAATTTATTTTAAGAAAAATAACTAATAAATTGTGAAATATAAAAAGCGATTTTTACTCTGAATACTTAGTAATTACTAATACTATTTGCTAGAAATTGAAAAATAGATAAAAAAGTTGTTTAAGATTCATTATTATTATATATAACTATTCTTAATAATCAGCTAAGGTTTATTATTTTCTTTATTTATTTTAGCATTTTTCAAATTTATTTAGTATATTTCACTAATATTTTTTCTTACTTCTTCTTTTAACTAAAACTCTAATATGATTTATAATACTAAAATTAAAGTGAATATTACAACTGCTAAAAAATATATAACTGAATCGAAAAATATATTGAAGTTAAAAGGGGTTTTATTTATTGTTAAAGAAAGTGAAAATGATCTTGTAATAGCGTAATAGATGATGTTAAATGATAAATTTCAGATAATTCAAAATGGGAATGAGTTAATTTTATTAATTATCTTTACTTTTTTTGCGTGATTCAAGGTAGAAATTAAAAAAAATAAATAAAATAATAATTAATATAAAAAATTTTTTTATTTATTTATAAAAATTTTTTAATCATTATTTTTACTTAATATATTGTAGATATAGATATAAAAGTAAAATATTTTTTACTTACTTGATTCAATTATTAAAATAAAAAATTTTTAAAAAGATAAAAAAGATCTTATTTTTAAAAACACATATAAATTATTTATTTATAAAGATAAAAAAATTTAAGTTATAATTTATATTTTTTAATAATTATTATATGATCTATTAATAAATCATTTAAAAATTATTATAGATTATATTATTATAAATTTACTTATGATCTAGAGCAAAATGTAAAATTATATAAGATGAATGTTAAGAAAAGAAATTAAATTAATATTTTATATATTTTATGATAAAATTCTAATCAAAATAATAAATGAACAGAAAATCAATTTTTATTCTGAATTTAGTATAAAACCAACTGACTTTTTAAGTTATTTATTTATATAAAAATAGTGCAACATTTTAATAAATAATTAAATATAGTTAAATTAATTTTATTAGGTAATAGACATATTATATTTTATTATGCTAATGATTTTTCTTTATTAAATAAAAAAATTTTCCTAATAAAATCTACTTTTATTTATGATAAAATAATAAATTTTTTTTTTTGAATATCGATTTGATTCCTTTTCCTAGCACTTATCTATAAAAACAACATCAATTTTATAATGCTTAGTATAGTGATTTAATTTTATCCCAAAATTCGATTATTATTGGTCACTAATTGATTTAGAGATGATCGGCATACATGTTTACATAAAAAAGAATGTATGTATCGATCTATTCATAAAAAAAATGTCCGATACTTCTCATGATCCTACTTCTTCTACGAGCAATGAACTTGTGATTTGGAAATATGATAATCCTTATGCGAATTATAAACTTGATCCTGAACGAATCTTTTTATTAAATGGATATACACGTAATATGTTAATTGATATATGTAAATAAAAAAAAAAATTATTTATTAATATTATCGAAAATAATTTAGTTCGAATAAATCAAAAATTAAATAATATTGTCGACATTACACAAAATACTGGGAATTTAGTTTGGGATGGCGTAAGTCATTCACATACAACATTCTTATTCGTCATAAAGATTTTCGAAAATTTCAAGTTAATTTTCTTTTTTATTTAAAAATAAAGGCATATATATTAAGCAAATATATTGTAAATAATCTTAAAAATGATGCAACATTTCGTGAAAATATTAAATACGCTGCACCATTTAACGAGATACGATTTTTGGAATTGGGATCAGGGTGTGGACTGGCTGGATTATCAACATGGATTTTAGGTAACTCATAAACTCAAAACCCAAAAAGATTTTTTTTCGTAAATTAATGAGCATTTTTTTTTTTTTTCTTTAAATAATGTAGGTGGATTTGTTGTATGTAGTGATTTACCTGGAGAAGAATTTGAACATACAAAATTGAATATTGAATCAAATGTTGAATTAATATTAAATCAACAAGAACGATTTAATTCGGAATCTAATTTAAAAAATAAAAATAAATTGGATGTTGGGTTGCGTAGAGAAGATATTAATGTTTTTCCATTAAATTGGTATGTAATTAATTACTTTATGATTAAATAAATATATTCTGAAATTTTAATTTTTTTTCCGTTCTTTTTTTTTTTAGGGAAGAATTGCCTCAAGACTCTTCAAACCCACTACACATATCGAATATGCTTCCGTTTGATATTATTCTCGCATCGGAAATCATTTACTTGTTTCATTTACACAAATCGTTAATTAAAACAATAAAATATTTTAGTCATCTACCTTGTGACACTTTAGAAGGAAGGAAAGAAAACCGAAGAACTTTGGTATTAGGAATCTATAAAGATCGTGGATTAGGTGAATCGACCTTTTTTGATATTGCTAATAAATTTGGTAAAATGAAAGTTATTTGGGTAAAGGATTTTTTATTTTTATTTTTTATTTTAAGAAAGAAAAATCGAGAATTAATCCACAAATTCTTTTTAGATTGATAATAATTGGATGATAAAAGAATTTAATAATTATTCTCAAGAATATAAAATGTTTTGGCTTATTCCTTTTGAATAATTTTAAATAATTTTATATTCCGGAGTTTTTTTTTTTTTTTTTTGATCACGAAATAAACTTCTTTTTTAGGCACATGCGGTCTAACTTTATAACCAATTTAGAAATTTTACGTGTTGTTTCAATATCCGAATTAAATAAATCACTTTTCCAATCAATCCAGATCTTCCGTTTCAAACCATCTCTGTTCTCTTTTCAAAAAAACCATAAAATAAAATTAAAACATGACGAGCGAATATGAAAAGAAACGTTTAGAAAATATTGAAGCAAATAAACGAATATTACGTGAACTAGGTTTAGAAAGGCCACCACCTGTTTTACCAATTGTGGAAAATAAGAAAAAAACCGTTAAAACTAACAAAAATAAACATAAACATAAATATGTTAGTGAGAACGAAGATACTAATAAACCTAATAAGCGGCGATTAAGACAAAAAGGCGATGATGTGATTTCACGTGATGAAAAAGATTCTAGAGTAAGAAGATCATCCCGATTAGCTAAATTGGTAAAGATAATTTAATTCAATTAAATTCCGTTTTTTTTTTTTTAAAAAAATACTTAAATACTTTATATATTAATATAATAACGAAAATATTGTAATAATAGCCAGTTAAAGTTATTGCGGAAGTATCATTTGACGAAACTTATAGATCCAAAAATGCGGAATGGAGGAAAAATCGTCCTGATCCAAAGCAGTTTGGTGAAATTACTGGTGTACAAGTTGGAGCTTGGTGGCCAACTCGCATGGAATGTAGTCATCACGGTGTTCATGCGTAAGAATAAATTGTTTTTAAGACACTTATTTAAGTATATTTAAATTTAATAAGTTTTTTTTTTATTTTTTTTTAAAAAAAAAAAAATCGATGTAAATTAGACCGACCGTTGCAGGAATTGCGTTTGTTGAAGATGAAGGGGCTTATAGCGTTGCTTTATCAGGAGTATGTGTTTTCTATTACTGACTTTTTCTTATATATGATTATTTCTCTCATTTAAAAATTTTTTATTAGGGATATGAAGACGATGTCGATTGGGGTATTTAATTTTACATTCAAACAGTATCGTTTCATTGAATGAAATAATTAATTCATTAATACATTAAATGGCATACAGGAGAAGCGTTCACATATACTGGTTCTGGGGGACGAGATTTGAAAGGAACGAAACAGAGACCAAAAAATTTGAGGACCGCGCCCCAGGTTAGTAATTTCATTATAGAATTTTCAATTACAGTCACTAAATATTAATATATTTTTTTCACTAGACTAGAGATCAAGTTTTGGCTGCTGGTAATAAGGCCTTAAAGATTTCGTGTGAAACTAGTAAACCCGTAAGAGTAATTAGGTAATGCTTTGAATTTACAATCTTCAAAAGCTAGTCGCCAATATTTTGTTATTAGATTCCTAATGTTTTTCTTAAAAACATGGGTTTACAACAGAGGTTATAATTTGAATAACGAATACTCTCCTGAAGAAGGATATCGATATGATGGATTATATACCGTTGAGAAATGGTGGGAAGAAATTGGTTTGGCAGGTTTTAGAGTTTACAAGTATGCTTTTAAAAGAATACCAGGTCAACTTCCATTAGGAACTTGTGAAAAAAGTTGGTCTGATAGTGAAGTCGAAGATAATGATGATTGATAAAAAATGATTGAAAAGTGACTTGTGCTATTATTATTAACTAATTAGGAGGTATATCAAAATTTTTGGATATTAAAAATCTCCTATAGAAAATAAAGTTCTTGATGGTTCGTTGATATATCTCACACTATCGATCAAATACGGTAAATTATGTGTTCATTAATATTTTAAATATAACCTTTTACTTCTGTTGATTCGATCCGAAATAAAAAAAAAATGCATTTTTTATTTAGTAAAAAATGGCTATTAGATAAAAAATTATATTTTTCGAATCGAAAATACTATCTTTATATAACTTTTTAAAGTAATAATAAAAGCAATCATCAAAATCTATATTTTTCTTTAAAACGTGAGTTTATTAAACAAGTTAGGATTCAAACGTGTTTTTTTTTAGATGTTAAAAGGTTTCTAGTATCACCAGGTAATCTCTCGCTTAGAATAGAGGTTGTTGCTAGAATAGGAAGATAAATGATAATTCAAAAAGAATTTTATTATTAGATTTAGAAATAATGTATAAATCATTATATTACAACCTATAGATTTATATGCATTTTAAAAATAATAATATAGATGGATTCAATTCAATAGAAATATCACAATTTCTGATTAGATATTTATCTTTTAAAGTAATAAAATAATTATATCAAGATACCTTGCTTCCGATAATATATAAAAAATTTTTTTGCATTTGCATTTTTGGTACATATTTAACATATGAATACCAAATTAGGAATAATTC